AACACATTCGTTGCGAAGTGAATCAACGAATTGTTTTATGAGAACCTAACTACCTAACCGAATTCGAGGATGGGAGGCCAAAGGCCGTATATCATAGGTTAACATTTTAGGAGACCTGTTCACGTTTAGAAGCATGACTTTCGCGGACGCCCCCCTTCCGTTAAGATATTACAGTGCAATATCATAATGGCGAGTTAAAAAGTATACTAATTAATATCACAAGTATGCACGTTGTTCCCGTTAGTGTCGCGAACATGCATGTTCTCAGAGTCAATCATGCGATGCTGCTGTGGATCAAGGCATGGCAGGGGCTCAAATATCATGAAAGAACACTGGCCTGCTTGAATAGCTCCTAGTCCTTGGGAAATAAGGCGATATGTGATGCTACTGCACACGGTGTGTAATGACTTTTATGAATCACGAATCAGAACTTATAGTAGTATTGGTGTAGACCAAATTTGGTTAGTTTCAAACTTAAAATCACCATATAACTTTGATTGTTATATCGCGGACATGATAAGTTTGAGCCTTGCGGTTCATGGCACAGAGTCTAAATAATGTTGAAATGTACAAGCTGTAAATCAGATAGCCATTGGCTACTGCTACTGGAAATTTTACCTGGAATTATTATAAAACAAGAAACACATTTTGGATTAATCTGAAGCCCGGTGAGCTTCTGGGTTAAACAGGCTTGTTCCTCGGTTTATCAGTATGACTAACGAAAAAATCATCGCTACTAACTGTGATCAAAGCAACAGTTTACCTCGCTGTCCAGCATCCTCACGGTCTGGCAAGTGAGCACCTCTTTCATTCGTTCGAAGTTCTGATCCTCACTGGCAGAAACCAGCGCTCTCACCACGGGTACGTAAACGCTGTCAGATGAAGAAACGACGCTAAAAAATAGAAGACGTGTTCAATGAAAAAACAAGGTAACACACCTTTTTCTCAAGGAACGTACACGTTGTGCTGGCAGAGTTTGGCAGCCTCGACTGGATCACCTTGCATCAGACGAATCAACACCATACACAGCGTTGACCTTCCGACCTGGTTTGTGTCGCCAACGGATTGGTACAATTCCACTGTCTGCTTCAGGCATTTGCAAGCATCCTCATACCTAACAATATGACATTCTGACTGAACAGTTCACTGGTAAATTAGAAAGTCCGAGGACAACAAAAGCGATTATTATTATTATTTATCATAACTTTATATTAGAATTAAATGCCTGCTGGGATAAGGAAGCTTAAATGGCAATGAGCCGGACATTTTTTTTAACAAGATGACCTACGCTACAATACAGAAATGATTGCAAGAACTCGAGAACGCAAAAAAAAACAAACAATACAAAGGCCATCGGAATTCAGAC